GCCCCAGCCCAGGGAGCAGTTGCAGTAATGGCTCTGTGGGGAGCATTTGTTAACATCGATTGCTGTCACTCCTTCCATGGCTGCAATTCTTCACCTCTTATCTGGAACACCCCCAGTGAGCAGCACAATTGTGCCTGTTCAGCTTGGCAAGGTAAAGGTGCAGGGGTTTGGGTTGATGCAGATCCTTTTCATGCGTGGAGCATCAAACCCCTCCTTCCTGTATCCTCCTTTCCTTTATCTCAGGCCTTGGAACTGCTGCAGGTTTTTCACTTGAATGGCTTTGTTAGCTCACCTTAAACCATTTCCTCTCAAAACAGTAATCCTTAAAGGATTATTATTAATTACTCAGTTGTGGAATAAGCTTACTGCTCATTAAGCAGGCAAAATTGATTGTTATCTGCTGGTTTGAGGCAATGGCTTTGCATCATGCTGGGTTGCTCATGCAGTTTTCTCAGCAGGTTTGGTTTTCATTGTTAGAACTCAAGATGTATTTCAAGATGACTGAGTTCAGAATTTGAACATACCCTGTCTTTCATTTTCCTTTTCCCCCCAATCTGTTTATTGCCTGGAACATTATTCTTCTGGACTTTGCAGAGTGGGGATTTCCTTGGTGCTGCAGTCCTTGTCTCTGGTGGAAAGTATTCTGTGAGATGCTTCTAAAATATCTTTATTCCTCTTCATCCAAACTTCTCTCACCACTTCTGGTAAAGATGTCACATCTGGGAGGAATTCCCTTGAGAGTTTTGGGTAAATGAAGAAATGCTCTCCTGGTGTTCTGCCCTTTCCTTTTGTTCTATTTTTGCAGGCAGGGACTGAGCTGTGTTCCATTGCTCATCAGATGCATTTTGACTTTATTTTTCTGCAGTGATTTGATCTACTTTGGGAAACTTGTAGTGGGCTCCTTTTAACTGATCAATATTTGAAACAGTTTTGCAGAAGTCTTTGGGACCAAAGATTTATAGAATTCTCAGATCTGTTCTGTATAAGAGGGGTTCTGTGCCCTTTAATGTTTCTTTGCTTGTCTGGCTTTTTGTTGGTCTTGCAATAAACTCCAGCACTCCCTTGCTGAGGTAAATCCACTCAGCTTCTCATGTCAGGAGTCAGGTTAATTTTTATGCAGCTGCAAAGACAAACATTTCACAATTTAAATGGATTTTTTTCCTCCCCTTAACTCGTTCAGCCACTCAAACAGATGTTTGGTTACTTGTACTCTCTGGGGTTTTGTTTTTTTGGACAGTCTCATTTGAATGAAATCACTCCTCAGGGAAGAGAAAGGGAGGAGGTGGCCTCCAAGCTAAGCCCGCTCCTGCAGACACTGGGAAAAGCAGATTTTGGGGTTTTTCCCTTTCCCAAGGGCTGCACTCCTGCATGGGCTGAGCTGCTGGGCTCTGGGAGTTGCCAGGAATTCCAGTGTGTGGTGATAAACCAGGCTGGCTCCTCAATGAGCAGCTGATTCTGTTACTGCCTGGAACTCTCCCATTCTTGTTTGAACTTCCTTTCTTATTTAATGTTTCTTTAAAAATAGCTTTATTTGTTTTCATAGAGCACTGCAGAGCAGCGTTCTGGAGGGTGTGGGCCCTGCTCTCCCTGTGCCACGTCTTACAATTAACAAAGTCCTTTTTGCCACCTTCCCGGAGGTTTTCTGAATTCAATTCAGTTTGTAGAGGGTCACACAAAGTGAGAAATTCCATGTTCCTTGCTGTGTGAGAGGTGTGGCACTTTTCCTCTCTCTGGTCCTAATCCCTGCAATTGAAAACCTGAAATTCAGTGAAATTAGATATATGGTGAGGTTTTTGAATACATATCCTTCAGTGTGCAATGGTAGAATTGGAAATTAGCCCTAATTGCAGGCAGTTTGGCATTAGTGACATTACCAATATTACTGGTAATAAAGATTTTAAAACTGGTTTTTAAAAGAATTTGAAATAAAACCTCAAAGCTTCTTGGTATAGAATGACTATAACCTGGTTAAATAACAAATAACCTATGCTGAGGTTAGTGCAGAGTAGTAAACATTTAATATTTGCTTTACTCTGATGGTGATGAGGATTAGCCACTGAAGATATCCTGGAATTTTATGGCCTGAATTCAAAGCCAAGGCAATGACAAGCACAATTATTCTGTGATTAACCCCTGCATGTCAAATCATGTCAGATTTCAGAGTATTCTTCTCGTATGTAAAGTTTAGAGTTTGCTGCCAGCACAGCTCTGTTCTGGCAGAGAAAACCAGAGCCAGGAGTGGCTCCTG